ACACAAGTAAAACCACTAATAAAAACAGGCTAAAACCACTAAAAAACAATAAATATGTGCGGGCTAAAACCACTTAAAATGTACTCACAATATAAAGTGCTGGTGCTCACGAACAGGGGCTGGGGAAGGGGAAGAAAGCAATAAATTAATTAAACAAAATATACAATATGTCCTCTGAGGCCAATGATGAGTGCCACGAGGGCAAACACCTCGTTGGCCCCAGAGGCGACCGCTGTCTCAGCCCAAAGCGCGAACAAGTCCAGTAACTGATAAGAACAGATACTACACTTGATCTTAGCCAAAAGGCCGAGAAGCGATGCCAGAAAAATGTGGCAGTAATTCTGTGGATTTCTGCTGACAAACCTTTGCCACATGGTTGACAGCATCCTGTCATCAAAGAAAAGAAAAGAAAAGAAAAGAAAAGTGTTATTGGAATGTAACTTAAGTTATCATTTTGGTAAATCATATGTGGCTATGTGCTAAATGGTCTGTATTGTAATTCACTTTAGCTTCAGGAAGACACCGGGAGGTCTGGGGAGCTCATATGTTAAACACCAGAGGAAGCAGTCTTTGTTTACGCTAATTCGGAGTGTCTTTTGTTGTGTTGGTTTCTTCCTTTCCCATCTGCATACGAAGGTGTGTCTTGTTCAACCAAAAGGGGCTTGCAGACTGTGAATCTTCAGACTTGTCCTGAGAGAGGCTAGGGTCTGTGCCTTGCCTCTGTCAAGACATTCTCCTTGTACAATGTAACAAGTAAAAGATTAACTTTGTCTCTTTGTTGTGTGAGATTTCATCAGGTTCAACTGTAGCTGAAACAGCATTATCACTTGGTCCTTCGAATCCGGATCCCAACACTTCTTACAGGAGCTGAGCTTGTCTCAAACATGGGCTTCCAGGAGCAACAACAAGGCCTTCTGCATTCGGAACTGCATTGGAACTCCAGGTTTGAGGCAGGACAGCCCTGGGTTGGAGTCAACGGGAGAACTACAGTTTTTTCTGATGAAATCGCAACAAAAGGCAAGTTCTAAACACTAAATTATGTCCAAAAGTAATCCAGGAAGTAGTGTGAAGTTCACATGAACACGTTCATTTAGGATAACGCAGAGTTATGCCTTTAGTCAAGGACTTTTACAGAGCTCGAATGAACGGGGTTTCATTCAAAAGGGTAACGCAGAGTTACGCCTGTATAATGAATGTGTTAGAATTGAATTACTTCGGACTGAACTTCTACATTACTTCTAAACTGAAATTGGACATTTATAGACATCTAAATAAGCTACATTGAAATTGGATGTTTAAAGACCTTTAAATTACTCAAAATTTGGAATTGGACATTGTAAAAAGACCTAAAAAATAGTTAAATTGCAAGCATTGTGTAGGGCGGCCATTTTGGTGGCCATGTGGTCCTTTGTCCTCTGTCCATGTGTTTTCTTTGTTTGTCTTTGTCTTTCTTTGTCTCGTGTGTTCTTCCTTTGTCCATGTGTTTTATGTGTTTAAGTGTTTGTTGTTTAAGCTCAAACTAAACTGACAAAACAAACTCACTAACTAGAACAAAATTTAGAGAGAGAGAGAGAGAGAGAGAGATAGGAGTTAGTTTTTCAGCTGGGGAAGAGAAAGTTGAATAAGAGGGAAAAAAATACATTGGGAAGAGATTTTACAAGAACGAGTTGAGTATGTGTGAAGAAAGTCTAAAAAATTAGCAAGAATTATAGAAAAGTTTAACACCAGGTTTAGAATACTTGTTTTAAAAGTCATTGTGAAACTTTGAAACTGTTTTCTTGGTTTAGAATTACCCTTCACCTTATGTTTTGATCCTGAAATGTGTTAACAAATGTGCTTCTTGTTTTTGAGAAAAATGCCACATTCCTGCCAAAGCTTCAAAGCAACAAAATCCACCTATTTTCCATTGTGGGACAGAAAACCAACCCCATCGCCATCTCGATACAGCCATCGACACCTACAAAACGACCCTCCACACAAACCCCCCTGCACCGGAAGCTGCTGACGAATAATCACGGGCCAATTTGCAAAGATCAAAGCGCGCAGGCCCACGGAGGGCGCTGGCCGTTTGTTCAAGTTAAATGGACGTGAGAAATGAAGGTGACATCTTGGTTCATTTGCGACTTGAAAGTTCGGCTTTGTGTCGCTGTTGGAGAACGGCTTGCTGCTAGTCTTGCGTCGGAAACGCAGACAGAGAAGAGTTTCGAAACAGGAACAGAGTGGACATTTCAGGTCATAACCAAACATGAGGAGGGGTCGAGAGGACGTGTCAAATGGACTGACTATGGACTGTGAAAATGGACTTTGGGTTTTCGGGCTTTTGGGCGTGTGCGTGGTGTTGAATTTGATAACCAAAGTTAATACATTTCAAGTTAATACATTGTTCAGTTTTGCGCCATGTATGTCTCAACAGGGGGAATAGTTTATGGAACAACAATGTGAAATTATACTATGAAAATTTTTTCTTGTTCAGTTTTGATGTGTGTTTTTTCATTTTCAGTTCTCCATGTTCTCCATGTTTAAACATAGATTGTTTGATTTATCAAAAGGATAAAAAGGAGGGAATGTTATTGGAATGTAACTTAAGTTATCATTTTGGTAAATCATATGTGGCTATGTGCTAAATGGTCTGTATTGTAATTCACTTTAGCTTCAGGAAGACACCGGGAGGTCTGGGGAGCTCATATGTAAAACACCAGAGGAAGCAGTCTTTGTTTACGCTAATTCGGAGTGTCTTTTGTTGTGTTGGTTTCTTCCTTTCCCATCTGCATATGAAGGTGTGTCTTGTTCTACCAAAAGGGGCTTGCAGACTGTGAATCTTCAGACATGTCCTGAGAGAGGCTAGGGTCTGTGCCTTGCCTCTGTCAGGACATTCTCCTTGTGACAATGTAACAAGTAAAAGATTAACTTCGTCTCTTTGTTGTTTGAGATTTCATCAGGTTCAACTGTGGTTGAAACAGCATGATCAAAAAGAAAAGAAAAGAAAAGAAAAGAAAACTATCAGAAATTATGCAGTTGAGATTCCCACATTTGGGGAATTCACAAAGGTCAGCACACCCGGTCAGTGCAATGGATGAGCCTCGCCTTGGGTGAACCACCTTCATGATCATGGTCTCGCCCCTGCCAGGTAAGTATGAATTGCTTGGATCAGAGCCAAGCCCCTGCTCCTGGGACGGTGAGCTGGCCAGCATGGTTCAAAGCAAAAGACCTCATTGGTCCCACCTTTGACAACAACAACGCACTGAAGAGAAACAAGAGTGCCTGAATGACGGGCCACGGGTTTCCAGGATAGTTCCAATAGTGATTTCAATAGCAACGGATGCAATGGTAACGGTAGCAAAGGTCGATAAGGCAACCATTGATATGTAATAGTCACTATGACAACCATCACTATGGGAATTTTTATGTCAATGGTCACCTTGGAAACCGTGCCATAATCCCCGTGGCATCCATAGTTATGCGATAGTCACTATGGCGACCATCACTAATGGAATTGTTATGTCAATGGTCACCTTGGAAACCGTGCCATAATTCCCCATGGCATCCATAGTTATGCGATAGTCACTATGGCGACCATCACTAATGGAATTGTTATGTCAATGGTCACCTTGGAAACCGTGCCATAATTCCCCATGGCATCCATAGTTATGCGATTGTCACTATGGCGACCATCACTAATGGAATTATTATGTCAATGGTCACTTTGGAAACCGTGATATCCATCACTATTGCACTGGTCACTATGGAAACCACAGCTATGCAATCATCTCTGATTTCCATAGCAACCGTTTTCATGCCATAGAAGGCAATAGAGTGAATGGAAAAACTTGTTACATACTTATTTATCTTGAATATAAAGCACCCCAAATTAAATATTGCTCACTTTATTCTTCACATAAAAGGCCAAAAAATATACCACAGAAAATGCAGTCACGTGTACAAACAGGTATGTAAAGGTCATAGAATTATTGAGTTGGATTTATAAGATCCACCAAGCGCGGGTTTAGAGCAGCAAAAGCGACACTGTTGCAGCACAGTATCAGTAGAGTTTGTTGGATGTGCCGAAATGGTACGTGAGGTTTTCATATCCCACCACTACTGAATGCATATTTCTTTGAACATCATGAAGGAAGCCCCGCAATGAAGTAGGGCATCAAAAAATTTGCAATATTCTCTTATTGTTCCTCACCACGGAAATCTTTAGTAAAAGGCGAAAGATTTATACGCTCTGAAGAGAAACAAGAGTGCCCAAATGTCGGGCCCCGGGAGAACAAAAACATTAGGCCTGGCGGTTCTATCGTGGTTGATCAGCTGCTAAAGTCCACCTAATTTGACCAGTTTACACGTGCAAATGCTCTGTCTGATTGACTGCATTGGTTGATTTAAAACACAACCAACACATTCCACATGTATATAAGGCATTAAAAAGAGAAGCAAGAAAAAGGAAATTAACAGCAAAGCACTAAGAAATCTGCCACAATGACTTTTACAGTAAAGAGGAGGTGCACCGTTCCTGGAGGTACTGCAATACCAGGTCAATGCATGGAGAGGACAGAGCAAGCTCTTAATTCCATCTCCCAGTTCCAAAAATCAATTTAATATATGGTCCCCCATGTAGGGGACGTATCAGATATTAAACTGATAAGAACAGATTTTTTTTTCATTCGAAAAAGTTTATTGACACAGGTGATCGTTGGTCATGGCATTTAAAACACATACATTTTCACAAACAACACAACAATAAAAGGTTAGTCATATTTTTGTTTACATAAAAACCAAGGTTGTGAGTTAAAATGTGTCAAAATGTCCATAAAATCACGTGTCATAAAAGCCCATTAAAGTGTCAATTAAAAGGGAGTGCAGTGGGTAAAAGCCCTCCTTGTGCAGAAGCGGGGTGAGTCCCTATCAAGTCGGACTCATCCTGCTCTACCAAACATTTGGTCTCTCGGGCCTGTCCAGCTCAGCAGTCCTCGCCCTTGCTCCTTCCCACCGTCCGCTCCCGGAGAGTCAGGCCGTTGCGGCTTTGACCTTCAGTGCGGCTTCGGTCTCCTTCGTCCGAATGAGCACAGAGGCGATGCTTCTGTGTGGCTGTGTCCTAGGGCCCGCCGCCTGCAGCCACAGCCTCTCGGACTGTGGCCGCTGCCATCCGGATCACAGCCACGGGGGGGATCTGCATGTGCCTTCCTACCAGCAGGTTTCTGGAGGTCCATATGGCGTCTTTGGTGGCGGCGAGGGTGAGCCAGATTCTTGTGAAGTCCTTTTTTGAATTTGGACTTAGGCCCACCCCGTACAGCATCAGCTGTGCTGTGAGGACCTCCCCTGCTGGTAGGTACGGGAATTGTAAGGAGCCGGCTGTTGCCCACTGGTCGACGGCGGCGCTGCACTCCCAGAGCAAGTGTCTCACCGACTCGGGCGCGCCACAACCCGGCCGGGGACAGGTTGCGGACTGCAAGAGGCCCCGGGAGTGCATGACGGACCTGACTGGGAGGACCTCATGAGCTACCATCCAGGACAGGTCCCGGAGTCTGTTTGGCAGAGCAGGATGGTTCACATTGCGCCAAACCTCGGAGGGCTCACCAATTGCGAGCCCGCGCACCGGACTCACTGGTTCCCGCTCCTGCACACAGGAGATTAAAAGACGGTGTTTGGTTAAAACTTGCAACTCCTCCTGCTCCAGGTTAAAACGCTTTAAAAAGGTCGGGATAAAAGCATAAAACAAGGGCAGGTTAAAAGACACAGGGACTCTCAAGTCAATGGGTAAAAACTTTTTCCTTCTTAAAAAGGAGCCCATCCAGAATCTTGTAAAAGCCATAGTCTTGGGGTTTCTGGATGGGCTCGTCGCCAGAGCGAGGTGAAGGGCGATGAAGCGGGCTCCAAGGAACAGAGGGAGGTCCGGCACGCCTTTGCCTCCTTTCTCCTTTGGCTTCTTCAGGACCTCCCTCCTCACCCGCTCCCACTTGGAGCCCCAGATAAAATAGAAGATTGCCCACTCCAGGTTTAAAATCACTCTCCTAGGAGGCATAAAAACAGAACAATTTAGTAAAAACAAAGGTAAAATCACAGCTTTAATGATTAAAACCTTCCCTTCCATGGTCAGTCCTCTAAGAGTCCCGAACCCCAGTCTTTGCCTAACTTTCCCTATGACGTCACCCCAGTTTTGACTTCCTCCCCCCTCCCGGTCAAACCTGATTCCCAGTATTTTCTGTCCTTGGGTCACGGTCAAGGGGAGTCCAGCAGTCTCGTCGGGGGTCCACGGTCCATAAAATTGGGCTTGGGTCTTTGCTCTGTTGAGCTTAGACCCAGAGGCCAGTCCAAACCAGTCAGTCAAGTCCAGAGTCCTGTTGACGGATAAAAGGTCGGTGCATAAAACATTCACGTCGTCCATATATAAAACACATTTGGCGGTGAGCCCCCCCCCACCCGGGATGCCCACCCCCCTGATTTGTTGGTCCCTTCTCAAGACCTGTGCCAGCGGCTCGATGCAAAGTATGTACAGGAGGGCAGATAACGGACAGCCCTGACGGACACCGCAGTTGATTTGCACTGCCTTTGTCAAATGCCCGTTAACAATGAATCTGCTGCTGATCCCACGGTATAGTTGCCCCACCCACTCTATATACCTGTCAGGTAAACCCACTTTTCGCAGCACCTCAAAGAGGTACTGGTGCGAGACCCGATCGAAGGCTTTCTCAAAGTCTAGATTTAGGACTACTAGCCGAATGTTTCTGTCTCTCGCATAACAGATGGTGTCTCGGATCAGTACGAGGCTGTCGGTGATCCTCCTCCCGGGTACGGCACAGGCTTGATCCGGGTGAATCAATCCCTCTAAAAACACAGACAGACGTGAAGCTAAAATCTTGCTAAAAAGTTTACAATCGACATTTAAAAGGGTGATAGGTCTCCAGTTGGTCAAGTCAGTCTTGTCTTTGTCTTTGGGAAGTAAAGTCACTATCCCTTCTCTAAAACTGTCAGGTAGTCGGCCTAGTCGTTCAAACTCCATAAAAACATTTAAAAGGTCATCTGCTAAAATATCCCAGAAAGTTAAATAAAATTCCACCGGGAGCCCATCGGCCCCCGGGGATTTCCCCCTTTTAAAAGTCCGTATGTTTATAGACAGATCTAAAAGGGTAAAATCGTGGGATAAAATGGCAGTGTCTTTTAAAATGTTTTCGAGGGAATTTAAAATGTCGGAGGTGGTATTAAAATCAATGGGTTTAAAACTGTACAGGTTAGAATAAAAGCGCTCAACTATTTCCATGGCTTTGTCTGTGGTTTCGGAGAGTTGGCCTTCACTATCTTTTAGATTTAAAATTGATTTGCTTTTGTTTAAAATTTTCTTTAAAAAGTATCGTGTGCATTTTTCTCCTTCTTCTAATTCTTTTTCTTTGGCTCTTAAGATAACGCCTTTACTTTTTATTTCCGATAAAACCATCATTTCTTTTTTTATTTTCTTGATTTCGTCATTAAAATCAAAACCATTTTGTTTTAAATTAAAATACCTCTGTAGTCTTTTCTGCAGTCCCAACATGCGGTTGTTTTCTTTCCCTATCTTCTTCCTACCCACCCGTCTAAAAAAGGTCTTAGTCCGGGCTTTCACCATCTCCCACCAGTGTGCTCGTGTCTCGTGCAAGTCCTGAAGGGTCTGCCACTCTTTGTACTGCTCCCTGTACTGACGGACTACGTCAGTCTCCTTTAACAGGGAGCAGTTGAGCTTCCACAGACCTCTTCCTACAGTCACACCGGAGGACAGTGAAAAGGTGCAGGAAAGCATCAGGTGATCGGAAAAGAAAACAGGGGTTAATCTAGCATCGGTGGGTGGGCAATCCCTGGTAAAAACATAGTCAATGCGAGAGGCTCTGGTGCCATCACCACTGAACCAGGTGAAGCCCTCCTCTCTTGGATGCATGGTTTTAAAACAGTCCTGTAGCTTAAAATCCCTACATAAACCCTGCAATAAAACCGACGTCTTGTCTGGATTAAAATCCCCTGTTCTGTTCCTATCTTTCTTGGTTAAAACACAGTTAAAATCACCCGCTAAGATAAAAGGAGCTGCCCCTAGCATGTGGGACTGCAGGTCTTCTAAAAGTTTGTACCTTTTGTTTTTGTTGTTAAAACCATATATATTTAAGAGCTTAAAAACCCGTCCCATAAAATCCAGATGTATTAAAAGTGCCCGTCCGTCTCTCACCACAGTGCTGCCCTTTACCGTCACCAGGGGGTTGTTGATTAAAATGGCCACGCCGTCGTTTGTGTTTTCATTTGAGCCGCTCCAAATGGAGGCATTTGGCCACAACTCCTCCCAGGTCCTGTAAAGTTTTAAAAACGGTAGCGAGCATTCTTGTAATAAAAACACATCTGAATTAAAAGATCTGAGACTAGTTAAAATGCTCTGTGCTCTAACTCTAGACTTCACACTTCTCACATTGATGGTAGAGAGTGTGATCGCCATGAGTATGGTTTTAAAAAGGGTAAAACATTAAAAGACTAAAAGACTAAAAGGATAAAACATTAAAACTGGTTAAAACACAAGTAAAACAAGTTAAAACCAGGTCATGTTTATCCTCTGTGGATCTGGCTCCGACTCCTCATCAATGGGTGAGGGAGGGGATGTAGCCTGATCCCTCCTACGCTCCTCCTCTAGGGGGAGCTTCGGAGTCGAGTGTCTGGCTCCGGAGAGGAAAGAGACCTCGTTGGGCGAGTCGGAGGGAAAGACTCTGGGCTCCTCCACAAAGTCACTGTCTGAAGGAGACCCAGCTCTCCCCCTCTTCTCTGGGAAATCTTCATTTCCAGAGGACGACTCTGACAAAGGCCTCTTGGGGTTGTTGGGTTCCTTTAACAGGAGGCTTAGGCATTTGTTTAGGGGGTCAAGAGGGTCCCCCTCCCCCACAGCCTTTTTTAGGTTTTGGCTGGTGTTTGGCTGGGGGCGGGGCCTCTTGATCCCCCTCCACCATGGTGTGGGTGGGAGGAGCTTCAGGCCTCTGCTCCTCCACCTCTTTCTGTGCGAGAGGGGCCTCCTGCTCCCTCTGCACCATGGTGTTTGTAGGAGGAGCCTCGGGCCTCTGCTCCTCCACCAGCCTCTCTGTGGGAGTGGCCTCCGCAGGCCCCAGCTCCCCCTCCTTTTGTGTGGGAGGGGCCTCCGCAGGCCCCTCCCCCTCTCCCGCCTCACCCCTCTCTTCTCCTCCAGTAGGGGGTTTTGGCGGGAGATTTGAATTTCCCAGCCCCACCTCTCCAATCAACTCTTCAGTTGGTCCGCCATCTTGTCCACCATCCTGTCCACATTCAGTTTCCATCTTTCTGTTCCCGGCCTTCAATTTGTTGGCAAAAGATTTTGGGCAATCTCTGAAGAGGTGACCCAGGTCACCACAGAGATTGCACTTTCTGCCATTGGTACACTGGTCAAAAGTGTGCCCAATTTCTCTACACTTACCGCAGACCACTTGAGTGCATGCTTCCACTAAGTGCCCGTGCTCCCCACAACGCCGGCAGAGCTTGGGTTGTCCTTGGTAGTGTATGTAGCCACGGTTGTCTCCCAGAACTATCACACTAGGCAGGTGCTTCAGGCCTTGGTAGCCCTGGGGGTCCAGCCATTGTTGGATGGGGACCCTCCAGCTGCCTGTCCAAATGCCATCCACATCTCTGACCTTGATAGCCTGGCCCTTCACCGTGCAGTGTCTACCCAGCCACAGACAAATGTCCTCTGCATTCACGGTTTCATTGAACATTCAGACAATCACGTGTTTCAGTGAATTGTCCACCAGGCCCTCCACCAAGAATACATTAAACTGGGATTTCACCTCAGAGTACTTGGCCCAAAAGTCCTTCAACTTAGCTTCCGACCTGAAGCTTACATCAAACCCTTTGTTGAAGGGCAGAGACAGGATGCAATTAAGATCCTCGGGTTTGAAGCCGAGGGCCTTCTGCACCAAGTGTCTGGAAAAGTCCAGGCGAGAAAAAGCCAGTACTTTTCCATCTACTTCTCTGAGGGTGAAGCGCACGCTGTGGTGCCTCCTCCTGCCGGCATGGGAGGCCGACATTCTGGAGGCACCAGCAGCCTAAAACACAAGTAAAACCACTAATAAAAACAGGCTAAAACCCAGGTTAAAACCACTAAAAAACAATAAATATGTGCGGGCTAAAACCACTTAAAATGTACTCACAATATAAAGTGCTGGTGCTCACGAACAGGGGCTGGGGAAGGGGAAGAAAGCAATAAATTAATTAAACAAAATATACAATATGTCCTCTGAGGCCAATGATGAGTGCCACGAGGGCAAACACCTCGTTGGCCCCAGAGGCGACCGCTGTCTCAGCCCAAAGCGCGAACAAGTCCAGTAACTGATAAGAACAGATACTACACTTGATCTTAGCCAAAAGGCCGAGAAGCGATGCCAGAAAAATGTGGCTGTGGATTTCTGCTGACAAACCTTTGCCACATGGTTGACAGCATCCTGTCGTCAGCGAAAAGAAAAGAAAAGAAAAGAAAAGAAAAGAAAAGTCCAAATAGAGACCGCTCTGATCGGTAAGGTTCCTTCATTTGACTCTATCATGTTTACATACAAGCGCGATGACGTCACTAGGTCGCGTACAAGCAGTCCTTTCTCTTTTCTTTTTCTTTTTTCTGACTGCAAAAAAAATAGGTTTGCTCCTGTAAATCCACGCCCCTTTTTGTATTGGTGTTTTTTGCAAATATTATTTATAAAATATATGCCTGTATGTAGGCAGGCCCGTGTTCAGGTAACACAAGTAAATGTTGATGTGCAATGGTAGAACTTAGTTCTTCATATATATTTTTTTCTTTTTCTTTGGGGCATGATTCTGAGGGGGTAAAGGTTATGATTCTTCTTTTTTCTCATGTTTATTTCTATTTCATTGCCTGCAGCGTGTGAGTGTGTTTTTGTGTGTGTGTGCGTCTGTATGAGTGAGAGCTTGTGTATGTGCTTGTTTGAATGTTGCGGTGTGGTTGTCTGTTGCGCGTGTCTGGGGCCTAGACTCTCTGACCATACACTCTCTCCATCCATTCATGTTTCTGAAATGATAATAGATGTATAGTTCTGAGAGCAATGCCTCGTTTGAAACCGAGGAGGATGACTTGAGCATGAACTCTCATAATTTAGAAACTATGATCAATTTCTCAGACAGTATAAAATATAAATCACAAAACATGATCGATATTGACCCAGACAGTAATTTCCTTCCTAATATGAATAATGACTGCTTATATTATACTGATGTTGCATTTGAAAACAAATTTACACAAGATAAAAATATCTCTCTAGTGCATTTTAACAGTAGAAGTTTATATTCTAACTTTGAAGGGATCCGAGACTACTTGAGTCAGTTTAAATCACCGTTTAATATTATAGCAATTTCAGAGACATGGATGGATGTGGACAAAGGTAGCCACTTTGAATTGGAAGGGTATGAAATGTTCTGCACAAACCGACAACATAAAAGAGGAGGAGGAGTGGCTTTATATATAGACACAAATATTACTTGTAGCATTGTAGAAAATATGTCTTTAGCAGTGGACCACCTTTTTGAATGCATTACTATTGAATTGGCTCTGCCAAAAAAGAAACACGTTATTGTAAGTTGTGTTTACAGGACACCAGGATCTGACCTGAAGGCTTTCAGGGAATGGATGGAAAAAATATTTAGTAATAAAAAAAAAAAATATATCATATGTGGTGACTTTAATATTAATCTATTAAATCCCCTAAAAAATAAACATACAGATGAATTCATAGACACAATGTTTTCCATGGGCTTGTACCCGCTGATCACCAGACCCACTAGAGTCACACACAGTGCTACCCTTATTGATAACATTTTTTGCAACATTTTAGACGCCAGTGTTACTAGTGGTTTGCTGGTTAGTGATGTCAGTGACCACCTACCAGTCTTCATGGTTTATGACATCGACTGTAAAATACCTAAACATGTTAAAAGTGACAGCTATCGTAGAATCATATCACAACAATCAATAATAGATCTGAAAATTGATTTGGCCAGTCAGAACTGGGAACCCATTTACCAAATGTCTGATGTAAATACAGCTTACAACTTGTTTCTGGAAATGTTTGCTACACTGTACGACAAATACTGTCCAACCAAAAAGTGCACAACAAGTCGCTACACAAAAACTCCCTGGATATCAAAAGGGCTTGCCAACTCTTGTAAAAAGAAAAATGACCTGTACAGACTATTCCTTAGACACAGAACTATAGAGACTGAACAAAGGTATAAACAATACAAAAACAAATGAACCAGCATATTGAGAGTAAGTAGAACAGAATATTATAATGATTTATTAATTAAAAAGAAGAATGATATTAAAGGAATTTGGAAAGTGTTGAACACCATTATTGGTCGTGGTTCTAGCAGCCCTAGTTATCCAGAGTACTTTGTGGAGAACGATACAATTATAAGGGACAAAACAATGATTGCTTCTAACATTAACAACTTCTTTGTTAATGTTGGACCAGAACTGGCCAAAAAAATCCCTTCTACCAACGAACAGTCAAAGGGGCTCATTGAAACAAACTTTAACTCCATGTTCCTCACTCCCACAAACGAGAAGGAAGTTCTGAATTTGATCAGAAAATGCAAAAATAAAACATCACAAGACATAAACGACATTGACATGAAAACAGTACGCAGTGTTGCTGAAGAAATTGTTGAACCATTTACACACATTTGTAACTTATCTTTCCAGCTTGGTGACTTTCCATCACAAATGAAAACTGCAAAAGTAATCCCCATATTCAAATCCGGAGACAAACACAGTTTCACCAATTATCGGCCAATCTCCCTTCTGCCTCAGTTTTCCAAAAAATTAGAAAAATTATTTGATACAAGACTCCGTGGGTTTATTGAAAGACATAATTTATTGTCTGATAGTCAGTATGGGTAATTTTGTAATTTGTAATTTTCTTTATTTAGAGCAGGGGTGCTCAATACGTCGATCGCGATCTACCAGTCGATCGCAAAGGTAGTATTGGTAGATCGCATTAAATAAATAAAAAATTACACATTCTAAACTAATATATACAAAAAACTCCGGGCAAAGTGGAGATTTTTGAAAACTCCGTTAATGCATTTGTGTGTAGACAGAGATAATAGGAGTTTTGCGTTCTCGCACGCCAAAGTACCCCCCTAAATTCCTCTGATCACTGAAGCATGGATCATACTACCTTAAAAACTGTTCGCTGTGAGATGCTCGCAGCAGCGAACATCCTCCACATCAGAGAGCAGCAAAGTGATCGCGGGGACTCACGCTTGAAAACAACTAAACCAGGACTAAACCAGGACTAAACCAGGACTAAATCAGGGCTGAGGACGGGGTCAGTGCTTGTAAACATACGTCTTTACTCTGAGTGTCTTCTATGACTGTAAAAGTGCCGTTACCGGCGTCTGCATCAAAGCTCCGCCCACTTCTGTGTTTTTCCCCAACGCAGGACAGGACGTAAGAGACGCACATGTTTGGAATGTTACGAATGTGATTGATAACGCAGATGTGTGGATGCAAATTATTTTATAAACGGAGGAGGGGAAATATTTGGATTTAAATAAACCAGGCATGGCACATGGACATGGCACCACAGTCAAATGACATCTGTGTTTTACTCAGTAATGCAGTGTCTCCCAAAGTGGGGTCCGCGGCCCCCTGGTGGGCCGCGAGGGTACTGCAGGGGGGCCGCGGGAGGTCATAAAAAAAAATATATATATATATAATTATTTAATGTTAAATTTATAATGTTTTGTTTGTAATATTAAAATATTTGTGTTCATTATTTGACTTGAATAATCCACTGTAATCATTTTTGTATTACAATGTTTGTAGCAGAGGCTATTTCCCCAAAATAAAATAACCAGAAGAGCCTATTCTTAATGTTGTCTTCTTGGTTATTATTTTGGGGGGCCACGCAGACCCGTCAGATTTTTAAGGGGGCCTCGGTGTTACTGAGTTTGGGAATGGCTGCAGTAATGTTTTACTGACACTTAGGTGACTGCACATGCGCAAACAACCGCGCTCAGTGCAGGAAAGCTAAACCACGACAAACTTGTCAGCGAGTTACCACCAATTTTCCGGACTATGCATCCCTGGCCGATTCAATTCAGTGCAAGTCATAAGAGTAAACTCGGGTAATGACAAAAAATGTACATAGGTAATTGTGTTGTGTTGTGCTATATTGGCTCATGCGGTTTTGCATGTACATAAACATATATTGTAGGTATAAAGAATATTTTTTGAAATAAATATATGATTTGCATTTTTGTAGTAGGTAGATCATTTTGACTTGATCCTTTTATAAGTAGCTCGCATGCTGAAAAAGTGTGAGCACCCCTGATTTAGAGAAACAGGGACAGTGTACAATAAACATTAACCCCAAGGGGAGAGATGCATTGTACCAAGTTATAGCTCAAGAGCTAATTTCCACCCGTAGTCCCTGGGCAGGCTGGTGTTATAGTAAAAAACATAAAAACATCATGCACACAAGGATAATGGCATTTACATTGATCAAGTTCATAATAGTAAAAGCAAATCTTCACATGCACAACAATCAGATACAAACTCTAAGGGTTTAGGCAAAATAGATCTACATCACTTGCTCTTATTGACTTAGTTGAGGAGATAACAAATGGAATTGAAAAAATAAATTTGTAATCGGAATTTTCATTGATCTTCAAAAGGCGTTCGATACCATCGATCATGATATCTTGATTAACAAACTGGAGGCCTATGGTATCAGGGGATTGGCAAATAAATGGTTGCAGAGCTACCTGAGAGAGAGACAGCAGATTGTCCAGATCGACCAACACAAATCGAGTTATAGGAACATAACCTGTGGAGTACCACAAGGTTCAATATTGGGACCCACTTTATTTATATTGTACATCAATGAAATATGCAAAATATCAAAGTTGATGAAATTCATTCTCTTTGCTGATGACACAACTATTATATGTCCAGGTGACGATTTGGAGCAACTTTTGTCTACAGTAACTGTGGAATTGAACAAAGTAAAAACAT